GGGGGCAATATGCTGACTCTGTAAACGGCTTAGAGAGGGCTGAAAGCCCTATGAAGTGGTATATAAGTCTAACTGCTATTGCTAACTGCTATGTCAAAGGGGGATCCAGGCGCCACCCGGGCAGAGAAGGCCAATACGGATACCTGGTGGTGAGGGGGCAGAGCTGGCCTCCCCTGAAGCCCTTCCCCCTCCTGTGTAGAGTGAACCCCCCCAGAGCTTCCCTCCTGCACCTTGCCAGGGGGCTCAGAAGCAGTCGCGGCCCCTCTCCACGTGGGGGACCCCAGAGAAACAACTGCCTCTCCCACGAAGAGAAAGGGCCTCCTGGGACCTCGGTCTCTTTCGGAATGCCAAGGAATCTGGGGAGTCTCTGGCACCGGCACCTCCACGGCCTGCCCTACGTGGCCACAGCCCATCCAGGACAGCGAGGTGGGCTCGGAGTGGGTGCTGGCGAGGGAGCCGCGGAGTCCCCTACTGCGTGACACCCAGCACCTGCTTCTCCAGGGTGCTTTGGCCCAGGGCGTCGCGGGTCAGGTGGCCGTAGGTGTGGCCGAATTGGTACTTGTAACCTGGGGTCAGAGAGAGAAAGAGGGAAGGGGTGACCGTCTTGGGCAAATCCACAGCTGCAGTTAATGCCACCAATGCCCGGGGTCTGCAAGGGAATCCTTGAAGGGGAAGCCGAAGGAGTCGGGCCGGTTGGCATAACGGTGTGAGCTGCAGATGTCTCCATCTGAATCCAGGCGTGTCCAATCTTGGCAGCTTTAAGCCCCGTGGACTTTTAACTCCCAGAATTCTTCAGCCAACGTGGAGCTGAAGACCACAAGCCTTAAAAGCTGCCCAGGTTGGAGACCTCTGGCCTAGGGGCTCTGGGTTAAAAGACCCCTGCCCACTTAGCAGCATTTTGTGAACCGTCCATTACAACTGGAGAGTCCGAAGGCCTCTGAGGCAAAGAACTGAGGCCAGGCCGCCCTCTGGAGAAGCAGCTGCTGAGCTACTCAGCCGTAGTGATCCTGTAGGGGCCAGTGGACCCCGGCCCGTCTCTGGGCTGAGGGCAAGCTCCCCCTCCCCCGTCCTCCAAGAGGGTTGATGTGGCTCCAGGCTCTCCCGCCCGTTGGGGAGACGGCTTCACTGGATCAGTGGCTGTTGTCCCACCTGAGCGAGTGGGGGGGGGAGACTGTATGTCTCAGGGCCCCCAACCCACTGCTGCCTGCCTGCAGCTCAAGGGATCCCTCCAGAGAACCCCGTGGCACGACAAAACCGCGCTCGACTAAAGCGCGCCCGATGAAACCGCGTCGCTGATGTCATCAACAGGGCGACAACAGCGAGGACGGAGAAAGAAGGACGTTTTAAATAGCGTTTTGAAAGCAAGCCGATTCAAGTTAAGGTAAGGGTTAGGTTTAGGGGTTAGGTTTAGGGGGGTTAGGTTTAGGTTTAGGGGTTAG